GGGCGTTTGAATAGTGGTATGACGGCCACGATGGCCTCGTGGTCAGCTCCCGGGTGTAGCTGTGGGCTGACCTGCGCGTGCGCAAAAGGGATATTAGAGAAAGCCAGGTCCAGGACATGTCCGCAATCCTGGGTTGCCACCCCAACTTCGCTGATAAGAGAGAGATTGTGGCCGTCTGCCCAGCCTGCAATGTCATCTCCCCGGTTCCCGTTCCTCGTCCCGGGCTCCCAAGAGTAGTGATGCGCGTTGAAGTCACCCGCGATCAAAGCTCGCTCCGGGGGTTTGAGTTCTAGCAGTATCCCTGTTGTGCGGCTGTGGGGGTCGCGGGGTTGTCTGTACACGTTGACGATAGTCGTCGTTTTGTCGACCACCAGCCACAGTACGTCTCTCGTGTGGACAGGCCTCTGCTGCTCCACCGTCATCCCTATCCCTTTGCGTGTGTAGGTCAATACTCTTGGTCTGGTTCCTTCGCTGTCCCAGAAGTCGACCGGGACGAAAGAGTCGAAACCCGGGTGCGTGTTCAGTTGCACGTTTCCGTCCTTCCAGCCCGTCCAGGGTTCCTGGACGAGGACCACATCTATCTGAGCCTCCCAGCAGAGCTGCAGGAAAGCCGTGTGCGCCGGGGAGATCTTTCCGACGTTGCCCTGCGCAACGCGTAGCATCCGTGGGGTCGCCGCTCTCGGCTTACGTCTCCGAGTCGAGTTCGAGGTGGGTGTAGGCATTCGCGACGTTGTAGTTTGGCTTCTGTGCTGCCCGTTGGCTCCTGCTTGGCATGGGTAGCACGGGACGGTCGATGGAGGTGTTGTCGGGGGAGTCTTCGCCTTCGCCTTCGTCCGCCTCGTCTTCATCCATGCTGCTGCTGTCAGTGCTTCCGTCACCGAGGCAAACGATCGAGCTTGCGGAGGGCGTTCTCGTGCGCGCGCGCTTGGCGCCGGGTTGCTGGTTCTGGCTGGTGGAGGTAGGGACGCCTGCCGCCTCCTGGCTACTGTCGGATCGAGTAGCCTTGTACAGAGTGTCCGATGCTTTCTGGCCGGCCTTCCGGATCCGAGCCCGCTCCTTTCGACCGGGAAGGGAGACGACGCCGTTTACGACCGAGGGCCTCGCTGGGCAGTCTGTGTGGCCGGCTTGGAAGGGGCCGCAGCAGTTGGGACACTGGGGCCTGGCCATGCAAGGTCCCGTTTCGTGTGAGTCGGAAGGTCTTCCGCAGTTGCTGCAAGTCGGTCGTCGTCCGCAGAACCGGTTGGCGTGGTAGCCCTGGCAGCCGGGGTCATGTCGGATGAGCGTCCTTCGTTTTTTGATGGGCAGAGATCTGCCGCTTTGGTTGAAGAGCCTGAAGGGCGTGACCTCTGATGTGAATGATATGAGCCAAGATATTTCGTTCGTGACTGGGTTGGGCCCAAGGCGGGACGGTCGAGCAAGGACAGGCTTCTGTCCTGTCTGTGCGAAGACCTCATCTTCAACGAGTGTGGCTGGGTCCAGGACGTCCCCGCCAATGCTGTGTAGTTTTGTTGGGCATCGCGGCACAACGTATGTGTGCCACTTGATAGGCGTCTCGACTTGGTGGGCGCCGAGGCATTCCGCCAGCTTTGCCTTACTTGTAAGTAGTCTTTCCTGTATTTGCTTGTTTCGCGGCTTCAGAGAGTAACCTGTGCTGATATGGTAGACGTGGGGAAGGTCCGCTAGCCCCAGGCCAACGGCCTTACAGACGATCTGTCGTACGGCGAACGGTGCGATCTTCCGAGCGGCCGCTAAGCTTTCTTCCGGGACGCGGGCAAAGATGCGGAGGTCCTCCTTCGGCTGCGCCTGCGGCTGATCCTCGGCGGGGAGTGTGGCCTTCGGGCGGGCAGAGCTCTGGCAGCTCTGGCCGCTCCGGGTCGCCGCAGTGGTGTTGCCCGCCATCGGTGCGACGACAGCCGCCCAACTCCGGGCCGCTATTGGGCTTGTCTCGTGATTGATCAGTCTCTTGAGGGTTTGAATGACATAGGCAGTGGCTTCTTTCGCGATCTGCTTTCTAGAACCGTCAAAGCTGGCGACAACGCTGTCGACGGACCGTGCAATGGTCAGAAAGACGTCTTTCCGTGCCTCGTACTGTCTAGCTTCTTCTGCAAGGGCTGTCAAGACGGACCCTGTGGCAGATCCGCTCGGAGCAGATGCGGTAGAGGCTGCGGGCCCCTCGGCCGAGGTAGGGGCGTCGGTGGTGGCATCAAGCTGGCTTCCCGTTAGGCTGGGCCGGGTCGGCTGTGCCTCGGCGTCGCGGCGTCGCTTAGCTCTTGAGGTGGGGTTCGGCTCCGGAGGTGTCCCGGAGCCTGGTTCGGGGTCGGCTTGGTCGGCCGACATCAGTCCGGTGCCCGACGGCGGCTGTGAGGCCATCGCGGATGCGGGCTCCGGCAAGGGGAGGTGAAGAGTTTTCGGCTGTTAGTAATTTGGTGGTAGGCTCACTCATTCACTAACAGCAGATGCCAAGAAAAATTAGGCGAGAGGGAAGTTCGTCCAACCGCATGTGTCATCCGAGTACTTACCGTAGAAACCCAAATTTGAGGATGCTGGGAGACAAAGAGAGTCAATTACAACTGCAAAGCAGTACGGATGCAAAGGAACCTTATGCCATGCAGTACCTCAGTAATTTGCGTAGAATAAAAGTTGGCCGATCATCGGGCTTGCAACGTCGCGATTTCGGTCGTGCAAGTTTCACAAGCCACAAGAAGATTACACATCATGAAACAATCCTTCGCTGTCCGCCGAGGTGAAACGGCCGTGACTAGAGTCGATTCTCACCGAGCTTCTTACCTTGGACAGTACAGGAAATCTCAGGTAAGCATGCCTGATACGTTCCGGATTTTCTCCTACTCAGTCTCCCATCCGGCAGCGGAGGCCGCGTGTAGGCGACGGCCGTACTCGGATCGCCGCGGCCCGCTTCGCAAATCAGCGGAGGCCGCGCACGAACGGTTGGAGGAAATGACATCACATGGCACCCTGGAACTCGGATGTCCGTTCGTCGTGCCAAGGATGGCATCTGATTCAGTGTCTCTTTGCCAATGTTTTCGAGTTGGCAGGTCATGAGAGATCAGATTGTGATCGTGCATTTATAAGGGGTCTCCCCTCGTGTCCGCACCAGAAAGCAAGTGCATCGTGATAGTATCTCACGCAGATTCGAAGTCTATAGTTCAGGATGAAAGAAACACAGCGACGTTTACGATATAATGTTGCCATATCACTCGATGGCTTCATCGCGCCCCCAGATGGGTCAACGGATTGGATCGTACAAGACGACAACATCGACTTTCAAGCACTTTATGCCCAATTCGATACGTTTGTTATGGGCCGCAAGACATACCAGTGCATGTTCGCTATGGGCGAGCAAAACCCTCTACGAAAATACCCAAAGCAGAACCTGGTTGTTGTCAGCAGGACTCTGAGTAGCGACGATCACCCAGGCGTGACTATCGTATCGCACAACTTCACCGGCTACGTGGCGGACCTCAAAAACGCGGAGGGCCGGGACATTTGGCTCATGGGCGGCGGGCAGCTGGCGGGGCCGTGTCTGGATGCGGGGATCCTAGACTCCGTCGAGACGGCGATCATGCCTGTGATGCTGAGGAAAGGAACCAGAATGTTGCCGGACTCGGCGCTCACGCCGCTTGGGGGATTCAAGTTGGAGTTGGTGGATTGCAAAAAGTTAGATACGAGTGGCATTGTGAACTGCAAGTACAATGTCAGCAGGGGAATGGCTGTGTCTTTGGGTGAAGCTTTGTCGTTCTGTTGAAATGGGAGCAATGGGCATGAAGAAGAGGCTCTGAGATACCCTCACGTGGTAAAACCCACATAACCATTATATAAGGTCGTTTAAAAGTTACTTTGATTTACCTAGACGAGAATTACGCTTGACTTCATTTGGAATCTTCTGGCATCAATCCCGTCGTCGCCTACATGGGCCTCGACGTGCTTATCTCATGTGCTCAAGTACCAGACGTACTTGACCGGCATGTATACACAGTTTCAGTGAATGAGTAGCGAACATTCCGAACTGATTGCGAATCTCGTGACTATATCTTCATCATCTCAGCTCGCTGGGATTCGCCGCTTGGAGATGGGGAGGACGCATCCTCCTATTGCCGAAACTGGTGACCAGCACGTCGCAAGTGACGCAGACGTGCAGCGGATCTACACAGGGCGTGAATCATACCCCTCAGCACATTTGTAGCTCTCGTCCAACCTTGATCATTACACAGGTATGTAGATCAAACATCGAGAGAAAAAGGGATTATCACATTTCAAATTTTCGAAGCCCAGTGACAGAGTCCGAAAGGTCTCGAAGGATTCGACTTCGCTTCCTGGTGATCGAGCGGCTTAAATCCGCGACGGGTTCCTCCCTTAGCTCCGCTTATCCCCTCAACCTGGCGGTGATCATAACCATTGGGCTGTGGGTTCATAAATAAAGCTGTAGAGGCCTTAAGTGATCTGATTCTTCTCACAGAACTTTCCCCCTTCTATCAAATATGGCGACAAGAACAACTCAAAAGATCCTAATTCTCGGCGGCACCGGCAAGGTTGGTCGCCAGATCACGAAGCTTTTCGCACGCACATCAACCCCCGTCTACCAAAGTTCCCGGAGCGGGGCCTCCACAACGGAGCCGGACGCCGATAACATCCATGCCGTCGCGTTTGACTGGGAGACTGAGCAGACGTGGGCTACGGTCCTAGGCCTCGGCGCCGCCAGCATCTTTCTCGTAGCACCGCCGGTGATGGATATGCTCCCGCCGATGCGGTCATTCATTGATCAAGCGAGGATCCAGAGTCGCACAACGAGATTTGTGCTACTGAGCGGCAGCCCAGTCGAGCCTGACATTAATGGGTATGCCATGGGACGGCCGCATGCGTACCTGAAGGAGCTTGGCGACAGGGGCGAGGTGGAATGGGCTGCATTGCGACCAACGTGGTTCCAACGTGAGATTCTGTGTTCATCATCATAGTGTGAGGCCAGTGAGCTAATAAGAGGGCAGAAAACTTTGCAGAGCAGGAAAATCACCGCCTAGCAGTTATCAATGAGAGCACCGTGTATTCCGCCACGGCCGACGGCAAGATCCCCTGGGTGGCTACGGAGGACATCGCTGCCTGTGCGTTCCAGCTACTCACTCAAGAGGACGCGCCGAATGACGAGTATCTCATTCTTGGCCCCGAATTACTGACTTACGACGAGGTGAGCGCGGCGCCATTTTCAAGTAGGATTCGAAAACTTTGATTGCTGATCATTCCGCGGCAGGTCGCTGGCATACTCTCCGACGTTTTGGGTCGAAAGATTGTGCACAAACGCCTTTCAGCACAGGAACTGGTGGACCGTTATGCCGCTCAGGGCATGCCGCGGGATTACGCGGAGATGATGGGTGGGTTGGATACGGCCATCAAGAACGGCAGCGAGAACCGGACGAACAGTGTCGTCCTTGCGGTGACTGGAAAACAGCCAAAGAAGTTTCGCGACTTTGCAGAGAGGAACAAGGTAGTTTGGGCCCAAGATGCCTGAAAAGTCCTTCAAAATGGGCGGCTCTTGGGGCTTGAAGTGAGTATTGGCTCACCGAACTCAGGTGAAGGTTCAGTGCATGCGCCAGCGACGCCACGATTTGCCTCCAGCCCTTGCTCATACTATCTGGTAGACGCTCGTTCTCAGGGATTGCTCCATGTCGCCTGCACGTACAAAAAAAAAACCCCCGATTTGAAGGGGGAAAGGTTTCGTTTTCAGTCAGCAAACGCCGCCGTTTTCAGCCGAAAGCTTCGGTGTGTCTTCGCGTGCGGGGATTTGCGCTAAGGTTGAAACAAGTCATGAGATCACAAAGCCTCCCTGCGTGCCTGAAAGTCTGCGGCATGAAATGCAAGCTCATTATTCTTACCACAACATCTAATCTGATTGCCCAAGCTCCAGCTCGAATGACTTGTGCATGAACCCCACGATATGGACTCATCATTTGTCGCGATTGAGGATGACAGGCCGAAGAAGGCCGCCGGCCGGGGTGATGACGGGAGGCCGGAGGAGACGGCGAACCCACTGACGTACCCTAAGGCGGCCGAGCCATTCAGTCAGGACCTCTTCAAGAACCCAACGTCGGAATATCGAGGGTGCCCTTTGTGGTCATGGAATACGAAGCTGGAAAAGAAGAAGCTCCTTCGTCAGATTGACCATCTCAGTGAGATGGGCATTGGGGGTTTCCACATGCATGTCCGGACCGGACTGGATACCGAGTATATGGGTCCAGAGTTCATGGACCGTGTGCGGGACTGCGTGGAGTATGCGGAGAGTAAAGGGATGCTTGCCTGCTTGTAAGTAACCGCAAATCCCGATGATTTTCTGATGAGATTGCTGATGACACTCATCAGATATGACGATGATCGGTGGCCCTCCGGCGTTGCTGGAGGCAAGGTAGTCAAGCAGTACCCGGAGCACAAGACGAAGCACATTCTGTTCACGCCGTATCCATATGGCTCTGTTGAGCTTGGCGGGTAAGTCCTTAGGCCATCTTTATTGAATCCATCTCACACGAGTTTTAGTGGATGCGCCCCAAGTTCAGCACAGGCCTGCCGGAGTGAAGAGGGATACCTCTTGGCACGCTTCTCAATCACACTCGATGAGAATGGCCGCCTGAAGTCGAACAAGAAACTCGAGGAGGGTGAGGATGCTGAACCAGGTGGAAGAGTTTGGTACGCATATGTCGAGATCAATCCCCCGTCATCTTGGTTCAACGGGCAGACCTACATCGATACAATGAGCACCGAGGCCATGAACCGCTTCTTGGAGAGCACCCACGAGGTCTACAAGAATAAGATTGGCGACAAATTTGGCACGACGGTGCCCTGTATTTTCACCGATGAACCTCAAGTGGCTATCAAGACACAACTTTCAAGCCCGACAGGAGTGGAGGACGTCTTTCTTCCATGGACGGCAGATTTGCCCGACACATTCAGAGCGACGTATGGTGAGGATGCAGATCTCGTTGCCAGCATCCCGGAACTGCTCTGGGATCTCCCGGGAGATACCCCGAGTCTATCCCGCTACCGATTCCATGACCATGTCAGCGAGAGATTTGTGACCTCATTCCTCGATCTATTGGCAGACTGGTGCAGAAAGAACAAGATCATTCTCAACGGCCACATGATGGAGGAACCCACCCTCCGTTCCCAGACAACTGCCCACGGCGAAGCAATGCGCTGCTACCGAAACCAGACGCTTCCGGGCATGGATCTTCTGAACGACTGGGTCGAGTACAACACCGCGAAGCAGTGCACGAGCGTCGCCCGCCAGAATGGTGTTCGTGGCGCTATGAGCGAGATTTATGGGTGCACCCATTGGTACTTCACTTTTGAAGGGCACAAGGGCTGCGGAGACTGGCACGCGGCCCTGGGCATTACGTTCCGCGTACAGCACCTCAGCTGGGTCAGCATGGCAGGTGAGGGCAAGCGCGATTATCCCGCCAGCATTGGATATCAGAGCCCATGGTATAAAGAGTATGGTTACGTCGAGGACCATTTCGCCCGTGTTGGTGTCGCCTTGACGCGCGGCAAGGCTGTTACGCGAGTTGGGGTGATCCACCCCATTGAGAGCTTTTGGTTGTGCTTCGGTCCCAACAACAGCGGCGACGATGAGATTGGTCGCCGTGATCAGGCTTTTGCCGAGCTCACAAACTGGCTTCTGCATGGCTTGGTTGATTTTGACTTCATCTCCGAGAGCCTTCTCCCGAATCAAATCGGCGAAGATGTCTCGAAGCCCCTCAAGGTTGGCCAATGTGAGTATGATGTCGTCATTTTGCCGAACCTACGAACTATTCGGTCATCGACCTTCGAAGTTGTGAAAAAGTTCGCTGCAGCTGGGGGTACAGTCATCATCGCTGGTGACGGCCCGGTTCTCATTGATGCTCAGGCTGCGCCGCCGGATCTTAGCCTTGACATCGAGCCGTCGGTTAAGGTGGCTTGGGGTCAAAGCGATATCCTCTCTGCGGTATCAGGGAATCGTGACTTGAAGATCGACTCGAAGGATGGGGGGCCGACCGATACCCTCCTCTATCAGATGCGCCAGGATGAGGAAGAAAGATTTGTCTTCATCTGCAACACGGATAGAAATAATCCGTACGACACGCTGGTCAATATCAAGGGCGACTGGGACGTTGAGGTTTTGGATACCTTCACCGGTTCAACTCATCACCACAAAGCTCGTTATGAAGGTGGTTGGACAGTCTTCGATCACAGATTTGAAGGCTGCGCAAGTCTACTCTTGAGACTTTACCCCGTGCCAGGGGAAGAACTGTCTTTTGTCAGTATCGAAGAAGCAGTAGCGCTAACTCCAGCTGAACATGCGTCTGCGGAGCTCAAGCTCGAAGAAGTTGTGCTCTCAGAGCCAAATGTCCTGATGCTCGACTACGCGATGTACAGAATCGACGATGATCCATGGGAGGACTCTGCACGACAGGAAATTCTCAAGATCGACAATGAAATTCGAGGACGGCTTCGCATCCCGGCTAAGGGTTCCGCCTGGAAGCAGCCCTGGTCCGTCCCGCAGTCAGAGCGAGCAGCAAAGGTCTATGTTGACCTCAGATTCGAGTTTGATTCCACCGTCATTATCAAGACTCCAGCCTACCTCGCAATGGAAAATCCCGAGAACGCGAGAATCGCCGTAAACGGCCACAAACTGCCAGTCGAGGAGAAAAGACTCTCTTGGTGGGTCGACGAGGATATCAAAACGATTTCGGTCCCGAAGAGGACGATTCGCAAGGGAAATAACATCATTGAGCTCAGTATGCCCTTTGGTGTGCTGACCAACCTAGAGAGGATATACTTGCTAGGAAGATTCAGTGTCGAGCTGAAGAATAATCTGCCTATACTATGTGAACGAAGACAGAGCTTGGGTTGGGGCGATGTAGTTACCCAAGGTCATCCATTTTATGCTGGTAACGTGACGTACAACTGCAGCTTCTCGCTAAAGTCTCGGTCGGCTGTCACTCTCTCGATTCCAAAGTTTGCGACACCCGTCATCAAGGTTCAATGGAAGGGGAACAGTGGGCACATTGCGCTGCAGCCAAGGAAGCTAGATCTCGGTGAGCTAGAAGCCGGGAAACACGAAATCTCGATTACAGCCTTCGGTTACCGGTACAATTCATTTGGCCACATACATCTCACAGAAGGAATATTTGGATGCTGGCCTGACCAGTGGCGAAGTAAGTAATCCAGTGATAACCGTTGCATGGCAGAATGCTGACATGATGCTCAACAGCTGGCGGATGGGCTTGGAGCGAGGAATATCTGTTGAAGCCTACCGGAGTCCTGGAAAAGCCTTCGTTGATTGTGGAATCAAAGGCTGGCGAGGGAAGTGAAGAATGGATTGTCTTGGCCGAGTAAGTACCTCGTCTTGACTTTATTCAAATACGTTTGAGGAGACGGGCAAAATCGTTCGGCTTTATGGTCATGGGCGCTACTGGTGATATTTCACTGTAATACTACTGTTCTGAAAAAGAAGTGAGAACTGAAATGTCCTGTCAAAATTGACTACGGAGGGGCGTCCTATTATACATTTGGGCGTCTTCCAGCTGAGCTTCGTATGTCGCAACTGTTTTTCATCCACTGAGACCTCTAACCTGAAGAGACATGGCACCGATTCCATCATCACCGACATCTACAGGAACGCCGACCCTATCAGATGTCTGGGGCAACGAATCTGCCGAAAATAGTGTACCGTTGCCGATGAGATCAAGGTCGGCGCCGGTGAGCTGATGTTGTCTGTCAGAATGGTACTTCACAGAGACTGCAAACATGTGGAGCGTTCACTTACACCGTACAGAGATGACGGCCCGACTGCTTGATAACAGACAAGACTGCCGTTGCTTACGCTGCAGGGCTCGTAGCCACGGATGGCGACCTTCTCGACAGGGGTTCCGACAGTGTTGAATGGATAGCAAGCCAAGCTGCCCGTGATGAAGTTGCCGTACCCGTTGATGCAGCCAATTCTTTGGCCGTTTTGGAATACAAGAAGCTCAAATGTTCTGGGAAGTGTTGCAAAAACACCGCAGAAGGAGCCAACAGTGAGGGCGATGAATTTCGGTTGCATTTTGAAACTTCAGATGGGATCAATATTGGTTGGAGAAGTACCAAGACTCGAGCTTCTTCTAGTCATTCGATGGCCTTCGATGCGCGACATTTATACTTGGATGTTTCCTTGGTTCCCTGGGGATGAATGGGTCTGAGAAGGCAAACAGTAGCGCCACCGTAGTACTACGGGCAGGCCAAGTGCATTAAGCTGAGGATTCTACTCTGAGCGATGTCAATGAGCAAACTGACAACACTAGGATAAAAGCCATGCTATGCAGTCAGTAATAAGACTGCGAGTTCCAAACAAAATGACGAGATGTCACGATGGGTCCATGAAATAATCGGGATTGATGCCATTCAAATTGAAGGCTTAGTTTTGAGATTCCAAAGCTAATTCTCTAAGAACCGGAGACACGAAGAAGGAATCAGGATGACACTTGTGTGATGATAGGATGAAGGGCGAGCACACGAAGTGCGGTAGAAATGAGTAGCTAGTTTGAAACTAGCCTCGACCTCCTGGATGTCGTTTGTCATTGACCAGAAGTACTTGGAGGCGCTATTGAATGAGTTTCGTGCCACAAGCAGGACTCTGATCCATGCAGGATTCAGCAGAGCCCAAGTCAAAGGACATGTACTTAGGTAGGTGCGGGATGATATCCTGTAATGAGGTAGCTCATGGTGTTCTGTGACTCAATTTTCAAGATGCGCGCGCAAGGTTCCGCCGGAAGCTTCAAATGCAGCACGTATTCCGCACCGTCCAATTCCGCCTTCGTTGTGAACCTGTTCGGATAAAGTACACTGACTTTGCTGTCCTTGTGTGTTCTCAATTTATCTTCTAGCGAAATGTTCACTTCAGTCGGTCCGTCTCGTCTCCAGACAGCGAGGTAGGTAGTCTTGCCGTCTGCCGAAGTCAAGGCAAGGGCCACCCAGTCGTCGTGCCATTTGGGCAGACCCAAGGGCCACGTGGGATGCGCGTAATGCAGGTCACCTCGCATACTCTTGTAGACTTCCAAGCCCTCTTTGACAATGGCCAGCTGATTGTCGCTGAGCAGGTCGATGCGGCCGGATAGGTAGACGCGGCCCATTATACTGTTGACGACGCTCAGGGCGTTGAGCTCATCGGTCCATCCGGGCTGAGGATAGGCCTAGCTGGCACTATGTTCCGGAGTCACTGCCGTTAGACATGCGGCTGCGATAGCCGCGTAGAGCTTGGGATCTTGCTGGTCGCTCGTAGACTGGATTGAGTGGACGGCTAGCATGGCGTAATCAAGACGGTTCGCCCCTCCAGAGCATGTCACAATCACGACGCCGGGATAGTTGTCCAGAAGTGCCCTGACCCAGGCTAGATAGGCGCGCGGACTTTGTTCTCATCTGTATCTCCCATGAGACAGTTCATGTAGTCATTGAAGATGATTGGCATCCTTTCCATGTCGTCGTGCGGCCTTCGAATCTGCCTTCTATAGTCGGTCAGAGCGGCAAACGTCGCCTGTTCGTCGCCCTTGACGCGACAGCAAGCAACTGGAACAGTCGTAAAGGACTGGCCGGGTGACAATCGCTTTTTCCAACCGTGACTACTCAGCATAGGACCAAAGGCGGCGAGGTAGATGCTATCCTTAAAGTCGCCTAAATCCCATCTCCACGATGCGTTGTTCTCGACCTGCCACATCCATGTATCCTCATTGTTTCGTTGTTTGAGAGCGCCCATAGGAAGATGGCCACCCGTGGAAAAGGACCCACGGGAGCTCAGCTCGAAGTGGGCAAGCGAAGCCAGGAGGCCATCTCCCAACTCCAGAACGCCATTGTTGTCGAGACCGACGCTTGGGAGGGAGCGCTCCTCCCATTGCCCCTCGCGAAACCATGTGCTGTTGGCGTGGAAGAGTGAGTAATCCTCAAACCATCGGTCAGAAGTGGACGTCATGTTACCGATCATCAGAGTGGATATGTTGGAGAGGACGATGTCTTGATTGTTGGTGGACTGGTTCGTAATGGTGGTTTGGGCGCGCACCACGGGAATGCTACCGTAAATGGTGAAGCTAGCAACCACATGAATGTTTGTGGCATTGTCGCTGCAATCCACAGTCAGCGTCTCTTTAGAGCCGTCGTCACTTTTGATGATTCTGTGGCTCTGGTACCGCAGTCGGTCAGAAAGGGTGGTGTCAACGAGCGTCTTGGCCGTCTTGATGTCACCACTGCCTTCGGCGCTCACACGGATACTGACGAGCGGAAGCTCAGAAGATTCGAAATTGGGCGAAGAACGTGGAGATGGCTCCACAGTGGTTGGCAAGATACGATCAACGCAGATGACGCCATCCTTGTTGATCAAAAAGTCAATTTTGAGGGCGTCAGTATGCCATCGAATTGTCTGTATCTGCTTCTCACCCATATCCGGCTCTTAAATCCAAGTCTTAATAGAATTGGTCTGGTGTGTGGTGTGGTGTTGCGTTGTGTCACGAAGGAATGAGGCAGTATCAACACAACGGATGATAGCAGCACTGGGATTGAGAAGTAATTACTATCTACTTACATTTAGCAAGCTTTTCTTAATGATCCCTTATGTCCCTTGAAAAATGAGCTATGTTGAGTAAGGCCTGCTTGATGAGGTATCCCAGGCACTCAGATCTGTGAATTGGAACAAGCGCTACGCCAGAGGTGCGTGTCGTAACGAGCTGCATCGAGCGGCCGATCGAGAGTCATTCGCCGAGTAGCGATACCGGCGCCCCGATCAGCCCCACCTCCACCCCCACACCCAGGCCCGAAAGTTGCGCTGGCGCCCGGGGTTGTGAGCGAGGAACAGCACAGTACTGGTGGCAGCGTTCTGCAGCCTACCGCATGCATCGATCCTGACAACGCAACTTGTCTTAATGCACTCCATGGCGATAGTCACGAACTATCTTTCTTCATGTCAGGCCAGTACCCAAGGCACCCATTACCTCGCGTGGGTACGGGGGCTGAAGGTAGGTGGGGTGGGGGTTCACTCAGTGAATCCATGACCGTCACCACATTCCACCCACAGTCTAGCAGAAACTTCCACAACTGTTCCAGACCTGGTCTATCCAAAGCTCTCCCTAGTAGTCACGCTTCTTTGGAACAGTCCCCTCTCAGAGCTTACATGTTTCAAGTAGCTTGAATCATCATCTCCAGATCGCTCAAACACTACACGTAGCGAACTACTGCAGCTTATTTACTTTTGAGTGAGAAGCTTGCCGCGACCACGATGTTGTGTTCTTGTGACTAAAGGCGTAATGAGACTCATTGAATGAAAACATATTGATCCATCTGTCAATACTACGAACTTGCATAACAATGGTTGATTCTTCACGATGGTTATTTACTTCAACTCCCTGATAGTACATGTATACTACATATTTGCCCATATTCAGAACCTGTTGCAAGAACCATAGCCAGCTCCTAGCCGATCACGATAGTCTGTTGAAACAATTTCATTATGCAGTGGCTTTGCCTCATGAATTGAAATTCTCTATTCCTGACGGACTCCTAACTTCTATCATGACCATCCTATCTCACCTTGAGCCTTGGCGTCCAGACTCGCATGGCGCCGTTGCCTTCACGATTGGCGCGTAGGAAATAAGGAATAGCTGTCAACTGCAGTGGCTCGACATCATATTCCCACGCCTTAGGACCGTAAAGCCGACTCGGCTCGCCCGTGACAACGCCCACGTCGGCTAACTTCCGGCCTGTGACCTGGAGGGGAACCACATCATGAGTGGTCGCAACAGATACAGGCGATCCCTCCTGCGGTGCTTGCTCATCTTCCAGGGCGATGTGGTCAATATCTACGGCTTCGTTATCCACATCCTCCAGGCAGTACACGAACGGTCCCCGACGGAGACAGACCGCGTCTTTGCCCGTCTTAGGGTGCGCGTATAGCCGGTGAGCCGGTGTTGGAAGTGAGAGGCGTAGTTCAGTGTCTGCGAGGACGGTGGTGATGTGTAGATACCCCTGATTGAGCTCACCTTGCTCAGAGCAGCTGTACCCTTGGTCCTGCACCCAGTCAGGAATCCGCAACGCCAGCCTGGCGGCACCCTCAACGCGGATAGTGATCTCGCTGGACCAGGGCATCTTGGTCATGACGGATAGCTTAACCCCTTTGCCTGCCAGCGTCAGTTCCACCTCACTCTGGACGTAGATATGGACGGCAACGAGGCCCTCAGCATCATCGGTCGAGTAGAGGAGTGAACCCAGCGACCCAACAAGCTTAGCCACGTTGGGTGGGCAGCAGGCGACGCCAAACCAGCGCTCACGATCCTTTGACTGTCCGGTCTTGGTTCGTAGGACGTTCTGGTAGTAGAAGGCCTCGCCGTCAGAGCTGATGGCGCCGAGAAAGCCGTTGTACAGGCAGTTCTCCATGACGTCCGCGTACTCTGATTTGAGCTCCATCTGGAGCATTCGCTGACACCACATAATGAGAGCAAAAGCTGCGCAAGTCTCGCCGTAGCACCCCTCCATCTCTAGGTCGTTGAGGATGTAGGCTTCGCCGAAGCCCTCGTTCTGGCGGTACGAGCCAATGGCGCCCGTAACGTACATCTTGCAGTCCACCATGTTCCTCCACAGCCGCTGAAGCGCCTGCTTGCACTCGGCCACATCAGGATCCGACGCGGCCTCGAGGCGAATAAGGTCCGTGACGGCCGTGTAGTAGTACATGGCTCGCACGGCATGTCCCTTGATCTCGGTCTGCTCGCGTATGGGTAGGTCAGCCTGGTTGTAGGCATAATCTCTAGGGCCATGGAACCAGCCTTTGACCTCGCTGCCCAGACCGTCGTACGGATCGGCACCGCGTGCAAAGGCTTCGTGGTCAAAATACGTCTCGCCATTGTCGTCCTGTGTGCCTCGCTCTAGAATGAAGTACTTGGCGAGCTTTAGGGCTAAGAGGTCGCCCGTCATATCGTAAAGGCGAAGCAACCCAAGCTCGATTTCCTGGTGGCCGGGATATCCGCGCTTCTTGCCCTCCTCACGGCCAAAGACTGAGTCGAGGTGATGCATGGATTTGACTGCCACTTCCAGAAGGCGTCCGCTTTTGGTGAGAGTCTCGTAGGCTACGGTTGCCTCGTATAGATGTCCAAGACAGTAGAGCTCGTGGAGATCGCGCAGGTTGGTCCAGCGATTCTCGATGCCACGGACCGTGTAGAAAGAATTGATATAGCCGTCCGGGTGCTGGGCATTGCGAATCATGTCGACTGTGTCTTCCACAACGCGTAACATATCCTCGTTCGGGTGGATGAGTAGAAAGTTACAGGCTGCCTCTGTGGTCTTGTAGATATCGCTGTCCCAGAAGGCGTGGGGCTGCGGTTGGTGGCCTTTCTTCCATGTGAGGCAATCCCAGTGGCCCTCGGTCTTTTGCGCCTTGATGATAGAAGGCACCGTAGACTCGCGGACACATCGCTGGAACTTGGCCCAGAATGGTGATGTCACGCGGATACTCTGAAATGACACGCTGCTAAGCGGCATGCTGGATGGCGGAAAAGAGATTCTACGTTTGAGTTCCTGTAACTTGGTACTTGTCCGAGATGAGAGTTCAGTTTCGGAAAGGGCAAGGTCGACTAGAATGTAAGGAGGTAAAGGGGAGCGTTGATGATTAAGAAGCCTGGAGAAATAAGATGTTCATACATTCTCAGCTATTGAGCCTTCGACGCTGGAAGACCTGTGGCCATTTGAAGCAACGAGTCGGACCTGAATGCAGTTGGCGACACAGGATTCGCGCTTGGTTAATGGGAGGGGACCCAGTTTGGTCCAGTGATGGGCGAGGTTTATCCAGACCCATTCTACGCACGCTAGAGGATATCTGTCCTCGAGTAGTCATATCAGCATGCCCTTGAAGCTGTAGATCCGATGGCGTTGATGACACCGGCCTAATGCAAAGTACAGAATCACGGCTTTGAGAGAACCACTCTCCCCCACAGTCTTCCGAGTAAACAAACAGTAAACCTAGTGCATGGTAGTTTGATTTAAATCCCATTCCTATTGGCGTGCTAACAACTACTTCCCCTCCCTCCCCCCCTCCCCCACCTCAATCCCGTGGACGGCTCCGCGACAGCTATCGACGAAAGCACCATCATTGTATACTATCTATCTTGCGCTAAGCCCCAAACAAGATCACTCAAGGAGGGATGACCCATTTTCGCATGGCGATTCGACGGTCTCACCTCGTATTCCAAGATCCCACGTTGCACTAAACGCCATTTTGATGAAGACCACACGTCGTTTGTGAATATATAACAGCCCAGAAAAAACCACAGCCCAGAAATGACACGAGCTTCTCAATCAGCTATAGTCTTCTTCACAACACCGTCTTTGCAGGCATCAAAAGCTCAGAGGCACGTACGTGCATGGAGTGCATGGCGTCGCGAGGTCCGATGGCGAAAGAAGTAGTGACGTATAAATAATGTTCTCAGGAATGCGGCATATTTCTACATCGGAATAAAACTGAAGTAGGAATAGCTCTCTAATAGGCACCGTGTTTACATGGTGTTCGGCTTGCGTGTAATCTACCTATCCCTGTGCCCTATCCAACCGCAAATGTGCGTACCACGCGTCCATTCCCCTTCAGATACTGAGTGCCAGTAAACTTCCACTGCTGTCGTCTTTTCCATCTATCAAGCTCTACAGCACATGATACAACGAGTGTGGTTTCATGTCCTATTTGGAGGTCTCTTAAGCATTTTCGATTGTGGTAGTGACAATATCTTGTTTTTCTTTCGATATGTGACGATCGTTGTCCGCAAACTCTGCACACAGGATTATCAATACACTTGTCAGTCAAAGAAGGCCTCAAATAAGTAGATGAGGTGATGGTAATGCTTCCAAGCATAGGAGCAGACTTACGGTCGACATTGGTGTACTTCCACTTACGGGCGGGCACTTTGTTGTCAAAGAGTAAATCGATCTCGCCGAAAGGGCGGTCCTTGGTCTCGGGCAGACGGAACCAGCACCATATGTTGCAAAGAAGATTGGTGCCGGCGTAGAAGAGAGCAGCCTTGGCGCCCCAGTTCCAATCTGACATTCACGTCAGCTTTTCCAAATTTCCAGTTTGTGCAGTGTCTTGAGAGAGTCATGGTAAGGAATGCGCGAAGCCGTAGACGCAAGAAAACATGAAACAGAAAGAGAATGAGAAAAAAACGAGACATTTCCTACCATCAGGGGAAATCATTCGTGGGGTGATAATATTGTTGACGATCCCCGTGCAGACATATGCGAAGCGGCCAATAGTTATGGTTTTATAACGTAGCTTGCCAGAAGGTGTTTCGGCCACAATTGGGTAGGCGACAGGGCCAATGGTAATGACGTTCACGAGCTGGCATACAATCATGACAATGCCTATGGCGAGACGGGCCGCGGAAGAGTGAGCAAAGCCCAAGCTACCGATAATGATGAGCGAGAAAAACATGAACGTTAAGCCACTCATGTAGATAGTCGCGCGACCAAAGTGGGGGAAGAGCAGCCAACAGATGAAGCCACCGATGATGAAGCAGGCGTTGAGTGAGATGTTGAGATCAAATGACTGCTCGACGCTGAAGCCGGCAGATTGAAGGAACAGGATAGCAAAGCCCTGGATCGCGTTGCCACACATGATTTGCGCACACCAAACGACGATGTTCTAGTGACACGATATTAGCGAACCCTACCAGTTGAATTCCCCATAGCATACTACGAGTATTCATATACCACCGCAGTAATCATATCAGAAGAGGAAAAATACTCACGATCTCAGTGCGGCGTAGGTTAGTGCCCTTGAAGCAGTCGATGAAGTTTGCGTTTTCCGTTTCTGCGCGCTCTAGCTCGGTGGTGTAACGGATGTAAGCCAAGGTGGTCTCGACCTCATGGTCGTTGTTTCCGTCGGCATTGCGCAGACGATGCAAGCTCTTGCGAGCCTCCTCAATGTTTCCGCGGCGCACCGCATTCCAGGGCGACTCAGGCGCGAAATAGGCGGCGACGAAGAGAGGCAACGGCCAGATCCACTGGAGCGAGATGGGCAGACGCCAGCCCCAATCACCAGGTACAGTAAGGACAACGCGAAGAACTCCGGCTGAGATGGTGAGACCGAAACCCCAGCACATGCAGACCCATGCAGTGACGTATGGCCGTAGAATCGTCGGCACAAGCTCGGAGGCGTACGTTGTGCTGAGCGTCTGTATACGATGTAAGTCATTTCATGACACTACTTTATCCGGCAACAAAGGCGAGAGTCATGTTACATACCTGAAAAACACCCCAAGGGATGCCACAAGCGAATTGGCCAACGGCGAGCATCGTCAGGCTGGTAGAGAAGAAAGGGATGAAGATAGCAAGTGCCATGATAACCATGAAAAACATGAGAATTTTGCGCGATCCGAATTTGTCTTGTGCCCAAGCGTTGATGACGAGACCGAGTAGCTGGGAGACCGCGGATGAATTGGACAGGCCTGTCTGCCACTGAGTTGGGATGAGATTTTTGCCTTCTTTATCACTGTAGGTGCCGAACCGAGCCTGAAATTGAGACTGTCCATAGAACGAGCTCATCTAGGGAATATCGTGTACGTCAGTCAAGCCCACGACAACATAGAGAAGAGGAATGGTGGAGGAGTAAAGTTATTTGTATGAAATGAATTACCATGTTGCCGTCAAAACCCTCCATGATCAAGGCCACAGACAGAACCATGGCCCAGAACATGGCAGCCTTGTATTTCTTGAGAGCCTCGCGAACCTTTAGCTGCGCGTCGGCCTCGTTGCTAGCCTTGGCGTCCTCCACCATTTTTCTAAACTCGGAGCTGATAGTGTCGGTCTTGTCAAGATGCCCTTGGGCAACTGTGACATTAGATGTTGCCATGATGACTGATACTGGCATGCGAGAGGTTTGGAAGTGGAGGCAAGTCGAGGTGGGTTACAATATCAAACCTTTCCGAGATGATGGCTCCTCAAAGGGGTTCAAGGGTCCAGTCCGAGTGAAGGGGCTGGGCAACGAGATTCTCAGCGAGCCTTATACTCCTGCCTCATTCGCACGCGACGTACCCAAGTTCCAGTCAGGCCTTATGTAGTCGTTGGATTGCTGAAGAGAGAGCCACGTGGAAGGACAAAATACATTCTTACCATGTGCGTATGGCGTCTATGTGTGCTCCAGGATTAACATGTTATCCAGCCCTCCACCCCCACACTTTTCGGCCGGCAGGTGAGAGTAATAGCTTCCTCATTTTAGGCTGATCCGTATTCTTCAACCATTGACGGCTTGGATCATACTACCCGTATGATGAAGAACACCAGAAGGCGTCTAAATAAGCCTGGTGGTGGAGCTTTTGTTTTTCTGTGCATGGTGATCTTAGAGTTCAATATCCGGGGTAGCGCTGGGCTCATCAGTAGAGAGACAGTTCATGCGAACATCATGCCTGTATCGCGGGAAAAGACACAAGTGGGAACCCAAGACGGGGTATCTTAATTAATGCCAGGGATTGGGCGCAATGGTGTTAGACTCCACCTCCACAAATCGTTCCTAGCTCTGTCCGTATGTTGGTAGCTTGCAAGGAATTTCTGGAGAATGAAGACGCACTAGCTTCCAGGATGAGGGGACCCCGCCATTGAGGCTTGTTGGAGCAAATAATCGGCCGACAAACTGGCCATGTACCTAGAGCCAACTTGGCTAGTTTTGAATGCCTCAATGATTGCGCAGTAAAAAGCTGAAAGGAGAAAGGTCAAACTATGAGGTTCTCTCGACTAATGTTACATGATTGGCGCGGTAGGCTGCCTCGAGACATCGACAAATAGGCTTCGCGGGGGTAGCTGACGGGGATCTCCACATATCCACTCTGCAAAAGACACGACGGAAAGGTGTAAGGAATCGCAGGGTTGTGAGCCGTGGCTGAAATGTCTGCGGTCTTGTAGCTCGATTCGAATCATGGCTAGAAAGTCACAAAGTGCCTGGCATGGTTCTGTGAGCTCACATTGCGCTCGATGTAAAGAACGCGAGAACTTTATAGAAGCGCGATATTTTGTCTTTGGGCCGGATGAATTCGGCGAAGCATACTTTACCTAGGTACACAGTGACTAGAAAGACAATTCTCACTTACTTGCGTGCTCAAGACACTCTAAGCTAACGTGTTTGGTCATCACGTTCTGGCTTTGACATTCAAGGATCATCAAAATGCTCAACCAGCCTCAAGAAAGACTTGCAAGGCTCGAATCTTTGAGTGATCTTGAACATCATCAAGGCTGATATCTGTTATAAATCATTTAGTTACTTTAAGTACACGCATTCTGATGTACCTGAAGCCACTTCAGCAGAGGAAGTGAGCTTACCCTATCTAATTTCATCATGTTACACAACGCCTTGTATTGAATTCAGAGCATATTTTTATTGATATTTGTTGTCTGAATAACAATTGTAAAACCTGATGTTGCTTATTCCAGGCGGACAGAATTGAGGACTGCTTTGTCTTTGAGGATTTGATGAGGAATCTCCGTAACTTCTTCAATAGCAACATGCAACAAGCAGTCGTTGCAGAAAAAAGTCAGCCATTCCTTGCAAAGCTTTTGTTGATGAACCTCACACACGAGGGATGCTCCCCTAAAAACCTCTATAAAATTGGATATATCGATAGGCCCTTTACTGAGAACCAACAATTTCAAGGGCGTAGGTAGTGAACTCATCACTGGGCCAAACTGGAAATTGGATGAAGTTATCGTTGTACGATACATCAAAGGTGCCTATATAGACAGGCTCGTCGACAGGTGTTTTCGAGGCCACCAGGGAAAGGGAATGTCAAAACTTTGATCTTGGTATCGCCAGAAGATGGTAGACCGATGATGTCGAGGTTGTTGACACGGATGGCGGACTACCAGTCTGACAGCGAGAACCATAGAGCATCTTCAGATGATTGCCCTCAACGGTGGCGTAGACATCAAAGTCCTTATTGGCCGAAAGCAGTGTCTCAACACGGTGACCCTGCACCCCGGTGCCGTAGTACTTGTAGACGAGGTACTGACCAGTTGCCCTGTAATCCTGGTTCTTGGGGTTGTAGACGTTGGGCTCACCACCGCCGGGCTTGGTAAGATGACCACTCAGAATATCGTAGGCCTAGGAGGCGGGAATCCAACAGCTCCGGGCCCCCTTGGCATCGATGCGCTCGAAGCTGGCAATGTACCAGGCGCTGAAGACAGGTGTCTGCTCGCTGTCAGGGGCGTACTCGTTGATGTTGATAGGCTTATGAGGCAGGTTATACTTGTCGGGGGGCTCCCACAAGAAGTTACGAGATGTCTCAAAGTCCGGAGTGCCGAGAACATGCCACTCCCACTCGTCGGGAATGGTGCCGTTGACCTAAAGGAAGGAGGCAAAGTTGGTCCACCACTCGTTCGAGACAGACGGATCCGTATTGACGGCAGGACCACCAAGCTTAGTGTTGGGCAGCTCCTTGCGTAAGTAGACATAGGCATGGGCCCAGGCTTCGTGGTACTGAGCCTGAGGTCGGTCCCAGTAAACTTCACCGTTGGGCTCGTTCCAAATATCGAGTGACATGCCCTCAAGAGCGTCGTTCTGGCGCAGATCTTTGACAACTTGGGCGAGAAACTGGTCCCACTGGGTCCAGTCACCGCCATCACCAGGGGAGGGCCCGTTTGTCTCACGCTGGCCGCCATCGGCACCCCAGAGGTCGCTCATCATGGTCGTGCACGTGCTATTGTACTTGCGTACGATACGGTAGTTGAATATCACGCCATTCATGCGTACCTGTCGTTGTTAGTGCTCTCTCTTGAGGGGCATGAGATATGGAGGTAACACAAAAGCGCAAGTTACATACCTTGTAGTCATTAAACGAAGTAATCCATGCGTGGCCTCCGGCTGTCAGCGAGGAACCGCCGCCACGCGGCGAGTAACCGTAATCCATGTCAATAAACCACTTATCAGGGATCTGGTTCTGGTCCAAGGGCAGGCTGTAGAGGACACCTGAGGCGCCATGTTGAGACTCTCCGCGGTCCACTGCTAGGTTGACGACAGAGATGGCGTCCGGATTGACATCACGTCGCGTCAAAGTCAGGACAGTCGCAGTCGTGACCAAGCATATAACGGCGCGCAACATCATGGTGAGAGCTCGAGCTGTGAACGATAATGCTTCTTCAGATCGTTCGGAAAGAAGTCTGACTGGCGAGATGCTGCTATTCCTGGGCCGAGCCGCCGGATCTGGGGTCCGACTCAAGCTCATCCATCTGGTCTAAGAGCAGCACCCCTGCTTGTGGCATTATTGCATCCACAATTACCGAAGCCCAACTTGCATTAGCTCACTGGTCCTGACAATCTCGAGCCATACGATAGTGATCATGGTCACATGTTCTTGAATCTAGACACCTAAAATATTCCGTACCCATGCCTCAGATGTGCCCTCTAACATATTGAAGGTGGAGGTGGGGGTGGAGGTGGAGGTGAGGCTTGGGGACTGGAGGTAGGACCCCATGTCATGCTACCCAAACGGGCGACTTGATGAGCAATTGCATCCATGATCTGCCCCATAGTCGAGGAGTCTATTCCTAAGTAGGTCAGACGACAATTAGAATCCTCCGTATTTACAACATACTATGCAAGATCGCATCAACTTGTCTTGCCTCGCTCAATTATGGCTGCAGAAGAATCTGCCGACAACCGCCGACGACTTTTGTGTTCCTTTGACGCACCAGTAACCTGGCGACGCATTCCTACAAATGGGGCAGAAATTGTACTTCCGCCGCCGCGCTATTGGCAGCGTTTTTGCGTCTGAAGTGGAGAACTATATTGCTACCTTAGACTTCCAGACAGTCATGCCCCTGTAGGCGTCGCCTAGGTCCAGTCTGTGTAGAGGTCTACTTGTCTATCACATATAGACAACATGTGAGACGTTGTTTAGGTACTGGGCATGCCCAGTCCAGGCGCCTTACGAGTTTCATCTCAGTCGGCCCGGTAGATGCAAATAGCTTGCGAATAAGGAACAAGAGATAATGGCTTCATGTACAATCGAGCTAGTGTTTAGAAATTCCACTTTTGCTGCTTCAAACACTCAACCAAAATTGGCACCAATTCCTTCCTTCTGCCAAGTACCTTGCACGAGAGTCCGAGCAGTGAAACAAGCCCTTCGCTCATGAGAAAGATTCCATTACAATTCTTCGGTAGTAGTACATGTAGTATTGGCTGAGATTACATCCAGCTGAGCCGCGTACCCCGCAGATATTGTCCAGAACATGGGCTGCTCAATCAAGATCCTTGATGTCTCTTGTAGAATCTGGGCGGGACCCTCCTCAGAGCACAAATCATCGACACCTTCAAGAAAGAGTTGGGTATTACCGCCATATCGGATGAAATATTGCACAAACTCGTCGTCTAGCGGGCGATCAAGTTGTAACAAGCGTGGCATGCGACGTTTTGTCAAGGACACCTCGCAGCGTGAGGATGCAGGACGACGATTTTGCGAAGGATTCATGTTTATGCTAGTGTTGCCAGCCGCGGGTGACGATGTGTCGGATGAATCTGTACAATGAGATGGGCCGGTAGTCGAAGGAGTCTCGCCCGAGGGGAATCGCTCTGTGTGTTGACTGCAGGTCAAGCTGGAGCAAGTGTTCTCACGTCGAGGACCAAAGTTTCCAAAAGCCCAGAGAGTTAACGCTGCCAGAAAGACTGCGAATGGTTCCACGATGGGGTGTGAGGAGAATCGCCTAACGTGCCATAGGATGGCACCAGCGTGGATGACAGCTAGGCGGGCTTTGTACCTGTCCTCTCGAACCCAGGAGAGAATTGTGATATGCCATGTAGTCCGATCTTCTGATGATGCGTATATCGAATGGGGCAGGCTGTCCATGGACGTACCAGCTGCGTTTGTCTGAGCGCACCGCAGGAGGGCCTCGACAGGTGCCAGTATGAGTAAGCGGGAAAGGTGCAGATGTAGGATTGATGGACTCTCAAACATGGACTGCTGTGCTATGAAGCCAATAGCGTCCCAATGAAGGAGGTCCAGGCAGTCGCAGGTATAGTCCCTCCACTCAGCGTACTCAGGTATGGAGCCTAGGTATTGTTGCTGCTGAGCCTCTCTTCCGCCTAGTTTATGACTGTAGGTAATCTTGAGGTGCACTGCTTCACTGAAATACTGTACCATATCCCATTTCCGGCGAAGCAGCATATGTATCATGATAACGACTCCTAGTTGATTCTCAGGTTGAGGAGAGTTCTGGCTGCTCCAGAGATTGCCGAATGAATCTCGCACGCTGAGTCGGAGAGACTCCTCCGACAGAATTGCGTCCACTCCACTCTTTGTGATGGTATGAGAAGCGAATGCTGTGAACCAGCTTTGAGCAGAGTCCGCTTCCCACAAACCTTCTGCGCTAGGCATTTTGAGCGCCAGTTTGCCAGATGGTATACTTGGAGGACAGTTCGCAGCTAACGCAAGCCAAGCATCAAGAAGCTTCAGACGTCATCTGTGTCAGTCATTTCTGGCCAAATAAACGGTGACAACAGCAGATATTCTCGCTATTCTTACCCATATGAAAAGTCCAGTTCGTCGTCTTGTTTCACGAAAGCGCCATGCGAGCCACACTTGCTCCACACTCTGGCCTTCGAGATAGAGCCCAATTTTGTCATCTTCTTCAAGGAGCTGTAGTTGAAGACAGGAATTGTATACGAGAGAGATGGCGCTATAGCCACATTTGACCAGCGAGGTGGTATGGCTTTGGCACATACCCACGACAGCGAGCGTTCTGGCCTGTATGTAGGGAAGACAGTCTTGTACGCGACCAAAATCTAGCTGTGAAACCGAATTCATGTCAGCCATGACGTGGAGTCAGCAAACTATGGAACCGTAGAAGGCCTACCTCACGTAGCAGCAGGTCGTGTAAAGCGCTACAGAGTTGCTCGCCAAAGTCGGTTAATTTTGGGAGACTCAGATAACGGGACCCAATGGCTGCAACCCCGATGCACAAACTCCAACCCCAAACAGGAATACTGAGAAGGGACCTGTCGACGAATGGGTGCAAGTGGTGAAAGTGTTCAAAGTACTGCTCAACAAGGTGTTCAAACGTATCTCGGCCCAAAAGAACATCCAAATCTGCAGCAAACCTTTCGGGTAACAAAGGTCTTCCGGCTCCTGATAGCAGCTTCGTTTTAATTTCCTGATATACGGATTCTGGAATAGTGAAGCGAGGCTTTTGTTGCTGACTTTTTGCTTGATTGATTTCCTCCAGAAGCACCGCTGACCATGAAGCACCAGGATCAGAGTCATGGTCGGGTACTCCTCGTCGCAGAAAAGTAGCATGTCTTTCTTGAAAGCCACGGTCGGCCTGCGACTGTCGAAAGCCACGGCCATTAACGTAGAGCTGTCTGTGGCTGGTCGTAACATGGCTTCTTTCAAAGGCTGAAGTATCTGTGGAGGTTGATCCATCACGCATGTACGTGATGAACGCCGACATCTGATCTTGATGATTCAGCGAGGATTCATCCAGACCTGTGACCAATCTCGACTCTCCCGGGCTGGAGGTACTATTTCCCGCAATGCAGCGAATGTCTGCTTGAGACGTGACCGAAATTCGAGATCGTCCAATGGAATCATTGCTCGTGGCGATATTTTGGGATACGACTGGCCGATGGATTTGGGCGTGGCTTGCAATAACAGTCGAGCCCTCCCATGGCGCCATGTCGCAGTCCTGGAGGCTTATATCCATCTCTATCTCCATGCCAGCATCATTTTCAGTTTCGTGACTTCTTTCAACGCCCTGAACGCAAGTACTCGCGTCTCTGTCAAGGTTCGAACCTGTGCTCTGCTTTTCATTTAGAGTACCTTGATCAAGGGACAGTCTTGACCTGGCTGGATAAGATTGGGGATTCTCCAAGGACCTAGTTTTCTGTGAGTAATATCTTTCGCCGCGTTGAAAGGCTGGAAGCCCATCATCCAGTTGAGGGTGACATCCTGGCTGTCCATGATTCGGAGTACCCATTGATAGTGGTGTCTCATCCTCGTAGCTAGTATATCTACGTTGAGGGGGGTTGTATTGACACTGGAGACTCTTTTCCACGCAGCGACTACACGGAAAATCTCCAGAGCACCTGATATGTGAGATGGCGCAGAATGAGCATGTTTTGAGGAGGCGAGATGAGGCTGTGAAGCCCCTCAAGCCCGGCCTTTGGCCAGCGTGAAGCTGCTCGTGGCGTCGCGCTGCGTCCCTAGGAAAGAATTGTCAGGGATAAGACCAACTTGTACAAGAGTCATAACAATATAGGTCGGACGCTTCTCAGTCGTCAACTGCACCTGGCGTGGAAGTGGACAAAACCAGATAGGGCCTGGGAGTATGGATAGCTGTCTGGAAAACAAAAAGACAACGTTACCTGCGCGCGAACTTTCTCCCACAGTAGTTGCATTCGATGGGCTTTTCGGTGATATGAGTCTGCTTGTGACGCTTTAGGTGATCCCTTCGCATGAATCTCCTCTTACATATACTGCACACGTGCAATGAGGCTTCTGTCGCCGCAGGTGTCTCGACTGATCGGGAGGCCATGGGCAAGGATGACATGACGCGTTAGAAGAGAGATTACTCGTCAGGTCTTTGATATACAACGTGGATGTGTATGACTATGACGGGTAGACTTCAGACAAGTGTCTGTCCGCTTGGTTGTGTCTAAGGAAGCTTTGGGCGGCTACGGAATCCAACATTCCCTCATGTTCATGTGCTCGGCTGCGTGAGCCGATTGCCGCACCAATCCGCATGCGGCCACTTTGTCATTAACCCCGCGAATCATCTGAGCTAAAGAATTAATCTCAATATTCGAGATCCACGGCCAAATTAATAGTTTCTTCTTCTCGTCTCGCCTACCAAGCGGCTACAGCCGCAGCCCCTGAACAAAATGTCAACGTTGGTCTACTATCTAAATCAGTGAGTCCCTACGGATCAAGGGCATTTACATCATGACCTAGCTCCTAGCTGGGGCTTCAACAAGCCTTCAAACGTCTCTCTTGTTTCCTGAAACTATTTAGCGTTGCCCCTCTCAATCGCCTCTCGTTGCATAACAAGTATACCGCTGAGGTCCACGTGTATGACAGATCCCGCAGCCCCTCACCCGTGATAGCATCAAAGTTCTCAGCAAACCCTAACTTCTCGCACAGCCGTAAGAAGCGCGTGATGATCTCATGGGCCAGATCAATTCGTCGAGCATCATGCAGGCCAGATTCCACAAGATGAGTTCAGGGAGCCCAGATAGGGCCGCGCCAGTATCCGTCGCTCTCGTAATGAGGCGAGGCGAGTTCCTCGGTAGCAAGACCCCACTCGCTGAAGTGCTTGGACACAATATATGTGATCATCTTGTCAACGACTTCATCTGGTAGATGTCGCGCGGCAGCGAGAGGCATGAACTGTAGAAGGGCGGTTGTTTTGAAGGTCTCGCCTGTTATAGCATTCTTGAGGAGGAAAGACTCGCCATCCCAAAATTCTTCGATGAGCGCATTGATCAAAAACCTCCTCATGTTTGCCCACTTCTCGGCCTCGTTCTCGTGTCGTAGACGTTCAGCGACCTGTTCTAGGCAGCTGGCCTGGAGAAAAATGTAAGCCGCCAGGTCAGGCCCGACGGTCATTGGCGTGCTGTCGAACGCGGTGGAGTTGTCCCAACCAGAATCGTTCCCATGCGCCCAGAAAGGAAGACGCGAGGTGTCGCCTCTTCGCGTATCCATTCAAAAGTCCGTCAGTCTGGCGGTAGCATCGTAGAGTGGCTCCAGTTTGGCGTCACTCATGTCCGGAAACTGGGCGAGGAGCCTGGAAAGAGCCCAGCCCTGGATGGGAGGCTTTGTGAACCCCCACTCGACATCCTGCCAGACGATTGAGTCAGGGAGACGGCCATCCGGCGCTTGGTGATCGAAGACAACGGTGAGCTGGTCGAGGCCGAGCTGCTGATCAAGGGAAGCTATAGCCAGCGCATTGAAGCAGTGATCCCAGCTCCAGACTTTGTTCATCCAGAGCTTGGACATCAAGATAGCTTTCTTTGTAAACTTGTGTTCAGCGCGGACCATGGAGGTCTAGGTCACATAGCTAGCAAGCACTTCGGCCTTTGTCGGTTTGTCACCTGCCCAGGGGCACAGGGCGGGGACGAAGTCATCGAATTCCTTGGCCGTCTTTTTTTCCATACTCTCAGGGGTGATATTCTTTGGCGTTCTCGAGTGCCAATTTGCAGGAGTTCTCTTTCTACGTCACTTGTGGCATTGTCTCGCGCACATCAAGCTCGTGAACGATGAGCTCCCACTGCGGGTTGTCGTCTGTGCCCTAAATCTGGATACGGCGGTTGACCCGGAAGGCGTTGGTCTGGCCACTGACAATAATCAAGTACCCTTTGGTGGGAAGAAATCGGTAGCCAGGAAAGGTCTTGTACGTGACCTCAACGCCAGCTTTGAGCCCATCCTGTGGCGGGCGCTCGAAGACGTACATCCCCATATAGACACTAGGGTCTGATCGAACGTCGCTGTCAAAGGCTAGAGGTACGTTCCCTCTGAGTCGAATGGAGCGCAGGTCCTGGTATGTTGCCTCACAGACGATCTAACTCTCATAGCTCCATTGAATAGACGATACTGTGGCTTGGAAGATGGTCGGCGACGGCGAGTCGTGGAAGCCGGGAGGTTCATTTAGCTCAAGACCCCCAGGCAGAGGCCGAAGAGCAAACATAGGTACTGACAAAGCGACACATTGAGATGCCAGGTAGAGGTCGGTCTGTGGCGCGAGATTCAGTGGAGGCGCGAGTCGAGCGGTGCGGCTGAGGCTTAGAAATGACCCTCTACGGCTCCAAGGCAGTATCTTAAGATATGGCTGGAACGCTGTTGAGGGGGTTACAGACTCCATTGTAGCAAAATTCTAGTAATGACTTGAAAGCAATTGATAACTGTTAGTCGCTACTGGAGAGAAACAAGGAGTTCGTGGTGAATGGGTGGTCTACTTAAGCATCTCATACCGGAGGCAGAGTGGTGCGACAGTGTAAGTCAAGGAAGTCGGGAATGATAGCTATGACCTTTCCGCTAGCTTGCGAGCTTCTTCAACCGTCAATGATCTACAGCTCTACTCCCCCCGTTAATAGGATAGTTTTTAGAATGGGTCCTGACTTGGTCTCTTGAATGAGGAAATCAGTAGCGTAGATGCGTTAAATTCACGCTGCAGCAACGATGTCCACCTCCACCTCCACCTCCACCACCCGATCCAATCCCACAGTCCGATTCCAATGCAGGGGCGGGAAAATGTTTCTATGGCTGACGTAGATAAACTAGCATCAGCTTCGAGGACGATAACTGATGTACGATTGCTGCATAATACAAGTGTTAAGCCCCTCTGACGTATTCTCCCCAGCTCGGATCGCCGAGTAATTTGTAACTTTTAGTCACAAGTTCCCTCACCTGGAATCAATGGCCTTTTTGCGAAATCTTGATGGAGATTGTGTTGATACTGATTGTAGAAGGCCAGCAATCCGTTGGGATAACGCCCCTATTTATGTCGAGTGTCAACTTCCCGGATTTCCGCTTCTCCTATACTGCATGTACTGTTTAAGGAACGCGTAGTAGGTTGCTCAAGCTAGTTTGATTGCTCTCAGAATATCTAGTCGCTGTTTGACGTAGCCTTGCACATCACCTGGTCAGACCCGCATCGAAGGTTTGATGAGCATCATCCTCAATTCACTCTGGAAGTCGTTGTCTTCGTATTGACGGCCCGGCCGGGCTTGTAAGGCAGCCGAGTTTGGTCGAGTATAAAATCCCGCCGGCATGTCAAAAAGCCGGGCCCACCTTTCGTGTATTAACAACCATGGTATGTGAACTCCACAAAACCCTAAGTTGTCTTGGCGCACTCTACATTAGCAACCATCATGCCATCCACTTAGTTAGCCTTTGCATTGGTGAACCTTCATGGCCGGGAACTACCAGAACCGTTCCTCTCTGTCCGGACAAGTTCATAAAGTAATCAACTCGAAGATTCCTAACCGTACTAATTTCAGTTAAAAGATGCACGCCCTCGTGTCAGGTCGCGGACTGGAGTAAAGGCAAAGAAATCCTTGCGCGCATAGTTGAGCCATTCGTGGCATCACCGACTTAAGTCATCGCTCGTTCGAGAATAAATCCCTCTTTCGGGACTCCCCGTTGTCTTGATTCCCTGATCACGGCCGGCACCTTCGCTCTCATACGACACCGTGATGTCCTGTCTCCTCATAATTCCTGCAAGTCTAGAGCTCAGTCTAGTCTCCGCCCCGACAATACTATCCTGACTACTCGCATCTTCCATGCCGTTTCGTGAACCTATAGTTGTCGATGTCTTGCCGACAATGTTTCCATTCCTTAGCAATGACTGAGACCCATTCATCTCAATCCCGCCCGACCGCAATCCCGCTGGGTCGCTTTGCTTCCGATATTTTCGGTCTGTTGAGCTCAGAACGCGGCGCCCGAGAGCCAGTTCTAGGGGAGGCCCGAGCATGTGTATACAGGCGGCGATGATTAAAGTATTGCCTTCAACACTACCAAGATCGTTAGCTGAAAGTATTCGATTGACACATCCAATATCCTTCGTTACTGACATGGTCCACACAACCAGGTCCGCACTGTCGTCTTGTCGGTTGTTAGTTAGCACAAGAATGCTTGTGAAGTGTCTCTTACACGTGAAATCTTTGCTGGCGAGACATGGTAGTCTTGTACTTTTGTAAATGGAGATGAAGCAAGAGCTAAGGGTTCCGTCAGGCATGTGATAATAGGAAACAGGCGTGTTGAGCTTCGGCTTCATACATCGATCCAATCCCAAGAGTTGATGTTCATCTGAAGTCTCATCAGGACTGTCGCAGGATAGACTGCAAGGTATAAGTCAAGCGCGGCGGAGTATGCTTAGGCGGGTTGTAATCAGCGAAAGCCTCGTGGAACGCACCGTAAACTGGACCAAACACTTACCTCCTGTCAAAATCGTGACGTTTACGAGAACTCACGGACTCCAACAGCTCTTTCCAGTCACTGTGAAGTCCCATTGAACCCAAGTAGGGGTGCACTGAGCAAAGAGTAGGATGATACAGAGAGAAACCAGCACCAAACACCCGGTCGCCATGCCCCAGAGCATTACTTGATGCATCTTTCCTGGATTCAATATCCTTACGAGAAGTGCCACGACGGCGAACTTTGGCATAGTGTATGCGAAGACGTTCGGAGGAAATCCTGATATCGTGGACAAGATTGCCACGGATTGCTGTTTTTGAGAAAGGGTGTCGGCATGCCGACCATTGCCGCATCGAATGGCCTAAATTTCAAGAGCTATCGTCGTATAGCTGAGAAGCTGGCCAAGTTACGATGTGTCAGCTAAACATTTTGGCCATCTTTATGATCCAGACATTGCTCCTTGAAAGGGACTAGTATCAACGGACCAGAGAAAGAACCGTAAGGTGATCATCTAGATGGGTTTGTCCAAGGATCTTGATGCGAACAAACAGTCGCATAGCGACGAAGAGAGTGCTGATGCCGACAATGATACATATTGTAATAGTGATCCCAGGTTCTTTGTTATCTGTTGAGTAGAACGTTGTAGCTGAAGTCGGACGGGTCATCTTGCAGAACTGAGCTGGTTTTGCGGCCAAAAGATGAACTCGAAACGTCCCAGTGCCCCCAAAGATGCTATTCAGACTCAGTCAATCGGAAGTGACATTCTGATTTAGACGCAAGACACAAAAGACAATGCTCCAATGTCTCCGCTAGAGGTTCCCTGTGGCGACGTGCGCCAAAAGCAATCGGATCAGGCTCGCAGAGTGAGGGCCGCTGGTGGAAGAATGTTGATTAAGGGGGATCCGGTAGCGATGTCCATTGCCCCGTGCAGACGCGAGCACTCTCACTTGAGCCGGCCCGTCCAGCGAAACTCAACCTTGCCCCTTTAGCCCTCTACTCTCCTTCAATTCCTTGATTCTTTCCACCTCTCGAGTTCTGCCTAAACTCACCTCTCTATTGCATCATCATTTGAACATCTGAACTCATTGCCCTGCATATTTGGACATCATGGGCTCTATCCCAAGCGAGATACCTCGCGAGGTTGACATATCTATTGCCTTGACCGCGTGCGACCTTCCAAGCGTGAATCAACATATGAAGAACATTGCCAATCTTACCAGCGCAGTTGCTGAAGGTAATGCCACTGCACGTCTGAGCATGCTTCAGAGCGCTCGTCTGTTGATGCATGCACTGGAGACACCACGGGAGACCATGATCAAGCACTGCTGGGCGCAAGTACGGTAGCCTTCTTCTCGAATTTCAACGCACTTGCTGAACATCGCCCACCAGCCAGCCGCTTTCACAGCTCTTACATATGCAGTTGACTTGGGTCTCTTTGCTCGGTTATCGCAGCGCCAAAAGTCTCAAGACGTGTCTGATCTAGCTCTGACACTAGGACACGATCCTGCTTTATTGGGTGTGTCATCTCCTGCAGGACGATACTAGCTTATTGAGTCTACACTGATTCTCTTTCTCGGAATCCAGGACGAATAATGCGACATCTTGGCGCGATGCTTTACATCACTGAGACTGGGCCAGACGAATACAAGTCAACAAACTTCTCGGATGCGCTCACAATCACCAGCATGGGCGCTGGCTACCCGTGTGTGTACGTGGTCTGTACCTCCCGATCATCCAGTCCACTCGGAAAAAGCCTATATTCTTCTGCGCGTGCGTTGGTACGAATCTACAATGTTAGCTAACCATTGTCATTGTCAGCGCCGGAGCCTGCATGGAGTCCCTAGCCAAATTCCACGAGTTCGCCAAGAAGACCAACTACCGCGAGCCCCACGATGTCTTCAACGGATCCCTACCATACGGATACAACACCAAACTCGACTGCTTCAGCTAGCCCGCAGCAAACCATCCATACGAGATGCAATTTGCACAGCAAATGGGCGCATACCGGCAAGGCCGACCAAGCTGGATGGATGAAGGCATTTACCCCGTGAAACACCGATTGATCGACGGCTTTGATGACTCTCAAGACAAAGTGTTCCTTGTTGACGTCGGAGGAAGCTTTGGCCATGAAATTGATGAGTTCCGCAGAAAGCATCCCGAGGCCCCTGGTAGGCTTGTAGTCCAGGATCTTCCAACCGTTATCAGTCAGATTGAGAAACTGGAGGAGAAGATTGAGAAGATGGGACATGACTTCTTCACTGAGCAGCCGATCAAAGGTAAGAATGCCCAGTTT